TGGAAGTTAAAAATGAAAACGGTCTCAAGATAATTCAAAATCCAGCAACATATTAAATGGGCTTATAGTATATCATAATAAATGTCTTGACTCTTGATCAGGTCGATAGGCCTACAGTTTGGGACCAAGGCCCTAATTGTTGGTCGATTGCAACCACATTATCCATAATGTTTATTTAATAATATAAGTTATTGTAAGATAATATATGTCTTAAAAAATTTATTATTCATAACGTGTATATACGTTGTAAATATAACTACTTAAATTTGAGATATCTAGGAAAAAATATTCTCTTTTACTACTAAAATCATTTGATGAGTTCCACCAATCGAGATTGGTTCAAGTGGTAAGCAGTTTGATATTATTTAAGCAAGTCTCGAGTTTGAGTCGTTGTGTATGCAGAAATAGGGGTGATTGTTCGATCGAGTATAGTTAGAAATTTTGAGTTATTTAATTGACGAGTCTTATTTCACAACTCAGGGTTGAATTAAAACTTTTTGAATCGAGTCGAGTTAAATTTTCGAGTTTATGTTTAAATTTAATTATCGATGTTTATAATATTATGGTACGAGTTGAAAGACTGGACTCAAATTTAAAAAACAATATACTAATTACTAATTACTCAAATTTTGAGTTATTCGAGTTACTTTTCAAGTTGTATTTTACAACTCGATTTGAAGTTGAAATTTTTTTCTAGTCGAGTTGAATTTATGAAATTATAACTCGAAATTAATTCGAGTCGAGTCAAAAATATTAATTTTTCAATTCGAGTCGAATTTTGATCACACTTATATTAAAAATCCTTGTTGAAGACTTACCTAACGAAACTAAATGTACTATATAGATCGATTTAGATAAGTGAGGATAAATCCTTAAAAATCGAAAGGAAAAAAAGTCATTTCAAGATAAATCTTAAATTTACACGACTTTACGAGACATTATATGTCAAAATAATTAAAAATGTTAAAAAATACATAAAAACAAAATATAAAAAAGGTTTATTTTTTAAAAATATAATACTTTTAGAAATTATTTTTTTAAAATTACAATTATGATTTATTTACTTTTAAAATTTTAAAAAATAATAAAACCATTTAAAATGATAAATTTTCCTTGAATGTTATTTAAAAAGATTAGAAAATTATAGAAAAATTCGCAGTCTTTTTCAAAGTTGTCTACTTTTTAATAAATTCAAGGAAACTTTTTATAATTTTACTAATATTTAATTATCGTTAACCATAGTTATTTTTAAAAAAATATAAATTGAAAAGAATAATTCTAAAATTTTATTTTTTTAGGATTTTTTGATAATTATAGAATCTGAAGGAATTTCATTTTACATTTATAATATATTTTCGAATTTTTTTGTTATTTTAAATAATTTTTAACTGATTAGTGTGGGTTAGGAACTTCACTTTTTTTTAGTATAATTGAAAAGGAAATTTTTTATTAGTCTAAGTTGAGTATTAGGTAGTATATGCTCAAATGATTCTTAATCATTTAACAATAAATATTTATATATTTATACAGAAGTCGCACTCGAGTCTGAGACATCAAAAGATAAAAATAATTATTTAATCATTAAAATCGTTTTGTTTGAACATAAAACTTAAATATATTTTAATTAAGTTTTAAAATCTCTTAAAATCTAAAATCTAAAAAATCTAGTTTTCTCTCGTTACTTATTAGTGTTCTCTTTTCTTTTTCGCCTTTGTTGATCGACGATGGTATTCACTTTGATGTTGGTTATTGACCGCCGTTATTTTTTATTGTCCTTTTATTTTCTCATATTGCATCTCTATTTTTTTTTTTTCATTAAGTTTGGTAGTATGATACATTTTTATCTATCTTTATGACACGTTTTCATCTGGCTTTATAGCATGTTTCCTTCTACCATTTGGCATGTTTTTCAGTCGTTTGGTCTTTTTTTCATTTATCTTTTTCTAAGGGTTGATTTCACATCGTCACAACTGATTGAGATGACGCTTATATGATATCTTGTTATTTTCCTTGCTTTGGACTCTCATGTTTAATTTGGATACCCGATTTGATTTCGTTGATAGTTTTTCACATCGCTCGAGTCTGATTTGTGGTTTATCGGTGATCTTTTAATAGCTTGATCTCTTTTTGCGGTTCATTTGTAGATGCGATCAGATTTGTTTGTATTTATCTTTGTTCAAGTTTCTTTTTTAAATTTTTAATATTTCATTGTATAGTCCTAATTATGTATTTAATTTACGATTATAATTGTAAATTCTCATTATAATTTGAGATATTTCTTATTTTAAATAAAATTAGTTCCTTCTATATAAAAACAATTAAATATATTTTATAGGAAACAAAAGGAAGGAATCAAATAAAGGGAACTTATGAACATTCTAATTTTTGAATATTCTTAAACTATAATCTTTATTTTAAATTAATCTTTAAACTTTTGAATATTCTAATTTTATCCTTAAATTATGATTCTCATTCTAAATTAATTCTCAAACTTTTAAACATTCTAATTTCATCCCTAAACTATGACCCTTTTCTGAATTAGTCCCTAAACTTTTAAATATTCTAATTTCATCCCCAAATTCATGTAAATATGTTATTATTTTCAACCATAATTTAAACTAAATTTGGTTTTTCAAACATATAATAATATAAATTGGCCTAACAATTTTATTAATATGGGATTTGATTAGTATATATGTATAGTTTGGGGAATAAATTGGAATATTCAAAAAGTTCAGAGACCAATTTAGAATGAATGCCATAGTTTGAGGATACAATTGAAATATTAAAAAATTGAGAACTAATTTAGAATAATAGTAATAATTTAAGGGGTGAGATTGAAACATTTAAAAATTTTAAAACTAATTTAAAATATGACGCATATTTTAAAGACATATAATACAATTAACTCTAATGTACACTTACCCAACAATACACAGTAAATGCTAACCAGCTCTACCTTAAAAAGCCTACATCCTAAAAGGCTATTGCTTGATCTTGCACGTGATTATATTCATTACATGATCTTGTAATTAGATTGATTAGGCTTAAATAATTATACAAAATATTCAAAAAGTAACGCATGCCTAAATTTATAAGTCCGTGAAATTATAAAATCTTAAGAGATATAAAATTAAATAATTAATAGTAATACAAAACTATCAAAATTATAAGAAGATTTTAAATTTTTAAGAGGTGCGATTACATCCCACGTCCCTGTCAATCCATTTGTAATTGGATTAATTATATTCATTGCATGATATCGTAATTAGATTGATTATTCTTAAATAATAATATAATATTTTAAAAGTAATTTATCTAATTTAGTTACTTATTAGGATTTTTAGATTTTAAAATTAGTGAAATTAAATTTTTGGTATAATTGTTATTTATGATTTAATTACTTTTTAAGATTCCATTTATTATAAAATTAAATAACTTGTTCTCTCATAGTTCAATCTAAAATTAATTATAGGTATGAATGTTTATCATAAAATTTCAGAAAATACGAAATTAAATAATCAATAAAAATTTAAATTTTTTAGAAGATTCGATCGCAGCTCATATCCCTCGATCCATCCGCGATTGGATTAAGATGACTCCTTTTAATAGCCAATCAGCAATGATGACATGTCATCTTCATCTTCACTAATGCCATGCACTTAAACCACCAAAAATGATTTCTAAAAGAACATATCATATCCACCTTCAAAGTTGTGGGTCTCCAAGACTGATTTCATGTGATGATTAAACCCCATCAGGTTTTACAAATCCTTCTTGCAAACACAGTATGGAACGCTGTTTGATTGTCGGTTCTGAGAATCCAAGGTTTCAACATGCTATGTAGCCACTTCAGACAAATTGGACATAAGCTGTGGGGTGGTTTCAACCTCCGTGAATACACAGTGTTAATGGTGAAAATCTAGGTATGAATATCTAGATAGTACGATAATTGAGGTTAGGCTTCGAGTCGTCGTGTCTATTAAGATTATAAAAATATAATTATCAACTATCAGATTTAGTTGTCAAAGATTATGTCAAAAGATGAAAAAAAATGGACTCTGGATGATGATTCGACGGATGGTGATTTTGAAGATGACAAGGTGTTTCTAGGGAACTTCTGAAAGCTACGATAAGAGGGTATGATCCTCCCGAGTTTTTATTGGTAAAGATTTGATAAGCATAATGTCAAAATTAACTACCAATGTTGATCAAAATAGTCATTTTGATATATATTATTATTTTTAGAGTATTTTGATTTTAACATTTTTTTGGGGACAAAAACCCCTTTATAAGATGACAATAGTTAGTTAACACACTATCAACGTTCTAAAATAGGGATATTTTTTTACAACAAAATGAAACATTGAGGGACAAAATGGTCTAAGAAAAAAGATTAAGAACCAAAGTGATTATTTTGTCAAATATTAAGAGTCTTTTTTTCTTAAAATGAAATGTTGGAGGCCAAAATACGAATTAGAATTAAAATAACCATTTTGATAAAATTAGATACTAATTTTGACATGATAGTGATTCGATATTCTCTTTAAGTAGAGACATATATGAGTTGGATTTTCGGTCAATCCGACCCCACCCGAATATATATATATATATATTCTCCACTTGGAATTCGATTCGACCCAAGTTAAGAGGTAACTTCACCCGATCTAATTTTTTGAGATAAAACTCAAACATACTCAATCCAACTCGGAATAAATATATTTATAAGAAAAAAATATTTTTATTCAATAAAAATAAGGATCTAATTGAAAAAAATAATATATAGAAGGTTATTTTTCGGATTGGGTATTTTCACCCTAAACTCAAACCCGACCTGACTCAAATATATTCTTTAGGAAGCCTGACCCAAACTAAATTTTTTAAAAAAATCTAACCCGATTGGATCGAATCAAAACCCGTCGAGTTCAGGTCTCGTGCCCATCCTTATAAGGTTTAATAATTTTCAATATCAACAATATTAAATTTGATCATAAAGGATCACCGTAAGTTGATTACAAGCCTACACACGAGGAAATGAAAGTGGGAGGGGAGGATCATCGCCCTTGGTGGGCACTTGCAAACTTATTCAACCGATCATACGTCGGATGAGGCCTGTAACTAAAATCAACATGTTGAGCAAAATCTCCTGAATTAGCCCCTGAATCCCACAACCCCTGTAAAGTTCTTCGGGTCGAACCATACCTGTCGAACTCCAGCCTCTGCCTCGGGGCGCTCTGGGACCGATACTTGGCTCGGGACGATTCCGTATTTGCCATGTAGTTCGGATGACCAGAATATCCACTTAAGTAGCCCCATGAGCATTCGCTCCTAGCAAACGGACTTCTCCTAGCACTACTACTTCCAGGTCTGAATGATGATGCAGAAAGTCCTTGGGGGCTGTTGTCGATATCAGATTTCCTTGAAATCGCTTCGGCTGCGAAGTTATTTGGTATAGGATTCGAGGCTTTTCCCGAAAGTTTTCTTGGGGAGTCGTATGCCATGAAGCTCTGGTTATAATCAAAAGCCGAGCTATGCTGCGATGCCCTGAAGTTTCTATTAGATTGCTGGGAGTTCAAGTGAGGCTTCCAAGTATCAACTTCAAGGATTTTGTCACTCTTCTCATCATCGACATGCCTATGTCGACGCAGCACATCTCCATGGTTATTCCTTAAACTTTCCTCCATCCAATGGTCCAACCAATTCGATCCCAACCCCGCTTTCTCTAGATTGATGATGTCCATAAGGTTTGAATTCGAACCACATCTCTGCATGAAAAGAAGCAAAACTCAAAACCGATTTGAATATCCGTTTTTACACTCAGTGCACCGATATTCGCTGCTCAACTGATCTGGGATCACGGCCTACAACTCTAAACTCATGTCTAATTCATCCTAAAATCAAAAGGTTTAAACAAAACCATATAGGTACATTCATCTTTGGGATACCTTTAGGATTGAGGGTCCATCAAATTTAGTACTACAAGCACGATGCCGGCATTCATCTTTAACAGCATTTTCATGGACCTGCGCGTATACGTAGGAAAAAGTAGGAAACGAACAGAGTGATCATACCGATACGTTATTCTCGATAAGTTCTTATATATCAACTATTCAATGCAATAAAGTTAAAAATAAAGCCCTCCATAAAGGTACCATAACTTTAAGTTTTGGTAAAACAAGTGGCCCTTCAGTATTTTAATCCATTACTGCACTAGGAATCATGTGAACTTAAAGGAAAGCATATGAAATTCCATACGTTAGGCCTAACAGAAACATTCCAAATCATGTTTATAAACGAGTAGATGGGAAAACTAAAACCGTCGCTAAACATCGATGAGAGTAGATGTCCGCTTACAGCATTTCGTGAATGAGATATCTTGCAGGTTGAATCAAAAGATTTCGTCACGTAAGAACGGCTAGCACGGGCTCGAGCTTGAAGTCTGACCAATGTTTGCATGCGTCGGAGCATGTCTGCTGTTTGCTTTCTCACTATGTGGCCTCTCACCAGTGCTTGAAGCTTCACCAGCGCTTTCAACGCCCTCAGTGCTCTCCGTGCCTGGACTATTATGACGAAAAATAACGATGTGAAACGTGATCACACTAATAATGATGAGTCACGGCTGCAATTTAACGAATAGCGGGTAATCACGACAGAACCAGACCGTTATTCTCCTATTTTAATTTTTTTAAATAAAAAATCAACTTTTTTTAAAAAAAATCAACTCATTTAGAGAAAAAATCACGACCGCGATACTCGTAATAACATCAGTTATATCCGCAACCGCGACAATCGTAACGCGATCATAAGCACAATTTAAATCCCTACTTACTCCCCTAAGGGCATCCACTAATGCATGTGATTCACATATTTCATACAAAGTATAAAATTTGACTTAAACTTAAAAATTAATCAATTAATTATTAAAATTTTATACCTCGACTTATGAAATTACGAGTCGAATCAAGACTTTTAACAGTAAATGAAATTGAAAAATTTAAAATTTTCAAATCGGATCGAGTTTTGCTTTGCTATGGTTAGAGTGAGTGGTAGAAGAAAAGACTGATGGAGAAACGACCACCTTTCACTAGGTGTCGGCGCTCCATAATGGCCCTTGTGTTTTTCCTCTTCCTCTTGTCTTGTTCCTTTCTTCTTCTCTCTTATGGGACCATTCCCAAATGGGTGTCCCAATCCACTCTCAAAGCAACCTTTTATCCATCTTTAAGCTCTAAAAATCTTTTCTTTTTATAATTTAATGGTGAACTTGAGAGCTCAAATTCCCATTAACCACAACTCAAAACGTATGAGATTAACTAAACTAGCTATGAACCTCTTAAGTAAAACGAGCACTAAATTTGAAAAAAGAGAGGAAGAAACTACTGACCAGATAACCTCGAAAAGCGGACTGAATCTTAACAGCCGCCGCTCCTTGTCGGAGGCGTCGGTTGCTCCCACCGACGCCGCCAGGACCACCGCAGCTTGTCAATCTTACGACCTCGGCCGCCGCATGGGCTGCTGCCAGAGCAGCCTCGGCGACAGCAGCGGTGGCGGCCGCGACTGCTATAGCGTGCTTGTTGGCATCCAATGTGTCATTGCCTGTACCAGAAAAGGCATCGAGATGAGAAGTGGAAGACGTGGGATTGGAAGATCTGGTGAAGCTCCAACGCCTCCTGTCTTTTTCCGGGCGGTGTTGGGCGGGCTTCTTGGCGCCGAAGAGTCGCCGGAAAAGGCCCATGGCTCAATTGCCGTCGACTGAACCACCACTTGAAGTCAGTGTTGATTGTAATACAACCATTTTTCCCTTTTGGGTTAAAAGCAATGGAAATCGAGTGAGGAGAATCTTGGATTTTGTAGACGAACGAGACGAACCACAACACACAACAAAAAAACCTTACGCGTCTCTTGGATGTCTGTACATCACGCGCACCGATTTGGTCAAACGCAACTTTGAATATTTTGTATTGAAAAAGTTGTATTTTCAACAAGTGATTGTGCTAAGGGGTCAGCATTTGATGGAATTAGGTGGACCGGAGTTAAAAAGATTTTGAGATATTGAGTCATATTTTATAATTTTAAATTAATTTGAATTTTTTCATAGTCTAATCGAGTATATAAAATTTGAATTGAGTTGAGTCAAGTCAAAATTTTGAGTTTATATTTAAATTTAATTATAAAAATTTATAATAGACAAAAGGGTACGCGAAGCCCCTGTACTTTTAGAAAAAATCAATATGGCCCTCGTACTATTTTGTTCTTAATGTGACCCTTCAACTAAAAAAAAAAATCTAATATGACCTTTTGACCAACATTTTTCGACATTGACAAATGACTCTGTTAATTCATGCTGACGAAAATAATCAATTTTTAGTTGCATGAGCAATTGTTGAAGGGGAATGAAAATAATCATGGAGATGGTTTTCGTAGAAACTTTTGATCGACTTAGAGAAATTAATGACGAAGGACTTACAATAATGTTGATCAATGACGGAAATCGTTGGTCAAATGGTCACATTAAGTTATTTTTTTAAGTTAGAGTGTCACATTGAGAGAAAAATAATATGAGTGTCACATTAGTTTTTTTTAAAGTACAGGGGCTTCGTGTACCCTTTTATCTCTATAATATTATGATATTATTTGATTTCAATTTAAATATTTTTTTATAACAATATACAATATATATATATATATTCATATTTTTCATATGTAATATACATATGTCACACAAAGTTGAGAGACTCGACGTAAACTTTGAAAATCAATCCCTTAATTAATAAAAATGTTGGGTTACTATTCAAGTTATATTTTACAATTTGATTTGAACTTAAAAAATTTTCGAGTCAAGTTTATGAAATTACAACTCGAAGTTAATTCAAGTCGAATTTTCTTGAGTCAATACAAAAAATCGTTTTTTCAAGTCGTGTTAAGTTTTGTTCACCATTACTTATGCTTTCTACAATTTAATTATTATGTAGAATATTATATATTTTAGGTGGATTAGTGAAAAAATAACAATTAATTTAAGTTAATCGAATTGTATATCAATTTTACTATTACGACGAATTTGGTTCACGGAATGTAAGATTACCTTTGGGAATAAGGTTATCGGAATGTAACATTACTTTGATAATGTTGTATTGCCTTGTTTGGTTTGCTTAGCAGGAATGTAAGATTATCGCGTTTGGTTGGAGGAATATAAGATTAATTGGATGCATATTTTACCAAATTATCTTTGTGATATATATTTTTAACAAGTAAAATTTTAATATTAAATTATAAATATTTGAATGAAAATTTATAAAATTATTTTAATTATCACACTCTCTAATTTAAAAGAAAAATATATATTTAACATATAATTAATATATTAAACTTATAATGTTAAATAATTTTCATAAGTATAAAATATAATATAATATAAAACATAATATTATGATATCGAGTGGACAAATATATTATTTTTAATGTATAAGATTTTTTTAATACCTTAAAATTAAATATTATTTTAAATAATTACATTTTTACAATCATAATATTTTCACCTCATTAAATTATAAAATAATTAATATACTAAATATTAAAAATATAAAATAATTTTAACCACTCAAATTTATTAATATTTTACTAAATTAAAATCTTTGTATATTATTATTATTAAATTTATAATTTTAAATAAAGCACGAAAAATAAAAATTGACAACAATTTATATGAAATTTTTTTATTATTTTAGGTGTATTTTGTGTCCAAAGTGGTGGGAATAGCTCATCACCTAAGAATTTGTAGGTAATGACATTCCCATCATTTTAACCAAAAAATTCTACTATTGGTAGGAGTGTTAAAAAATACCCGACCCGGTTGACCCGACTTACCGACTCGATTAAAAAATACCGGATATTTATTTTGAAAATACTCAATTTTTCAGGTCGGGTACCTGACTTACTAAATTTTTCGGGTTTATGGGTCGGGCCTGAGTCACAAAATCTTGCTTAACCGGGTACTCGCCGACCTAGTATCAGGTTTATTTTATATATATATATATATTAAAGTTTTATTTATAATTATCGAATTATTTTACTCTAACATTCAAAATACCTAATTTCTTAAATTTTACTATCATAACGTTCTAAATTCTTAATTTCTTAAATTATTTTACATTAACAGTCTAAATTACTTTTTAAAATATTTATTTTAACTTTGAAACAACTTAATTTAACCTAATAATTTAAGGAATGAGTTGATTATAAAGTAGTATTTGTTTAAAATTATTTTTAATATTTGACAATATATATATCTTTTAGACATAACAGCTCAAATCTAAAATCTCTAAAAAATATCACTTTTTTTCTATTAAAGAAAAATTATTTAATCTACTGTAAATATCACATTTTTATTTAAGTTATGGCTTTGAGTTAATTTAAATATGAGTTTATAGTACGAACCTAGTGATTTCAGTGGTTAAAGGATTTGTTATATGTCTAGAGGTCTCAGGTTGAAGTACTAACAAAAGTATTAACGCTCATTGTCAATTGGTTGAGAGTCTTTGAATATATACTATTTTATGATCAAGCGGATCCAAAAAAAATTCAGGGTTGACACATATGTATTAATAACAAAAAAATTTCGTATGGGGTGGGTACAAATAAAATTTCAAGGTGGACTCCTTTAATAAAATAAACAACTAACATAAAGAAATTCTGATTCTAGAGTGGGCATGTTGCCCACCCTGAGTTCTTCGTACATCTGCCACTGTTTGTAATTACTCCAAATTTAAAAAAAAAATGGATTTATAGAGTTTTTTAAATAAATAGAACGAAAATGAGTTATTAAAATATCTTTTTAAAAATATATTTTTTTACATAAAATATTCTTTTACTTATTTTATAAATATAATAAAATTTAATTTAAATAATACTTATAAATCGAAAAAATATTATATCAAATCATATCAATACTAGAGTTTACCGACAAGAAGTTTATCTAGTGGGATGAAACACTAGATCTCTTAAGTAAGGTCAAGAGTTCGAATCCTGACGTTTACAAATAGAGCAAATTGTGTTGGATGGGTGTCTCATAATAGATCTCTACAAAACCTGATCCAGAATAACTGCTCAATAAATTAGATATCAGTGATTAAATCTAATCCAAAATAATTGATCAATAAATCATACCTAAACTAAACAAGTTTCGATCTTATCGAAAGAATAATGTGTGTAAAACATGGTGTAAATTTAAGTAGCAGAAATATGCATATGCGTGTGCACAACTCAAAGCCTTGTCACTTTTTGTGGTTCAGACCAGAAAGAGAAGTTAATGGCGGCTGAATTGTCCACGATGTTTGCATTTTCTAACACAACTAAACCTTGTTAGGCCAGCTTTGTCTTTGTTCTTTGTCGTTAACGGTGGTGGTAGGGTCATTCATGGCCATTTTGCCCAACCATTGCCACCAGCCACCCCCGTTGTCTCCATTATTGAAAGAGGTTAAATATTCAATCTTATCACGTTTACATTTATATTTATCAAGACTTGCACTAAAAATAAGTAATTAAACTTTCTCTTTTTATTTGGGTAAATTACACATTTTAGTACCTAAACTTTCATTTTTTAAAGCCATACATAACATTTAGTTTTTGTTTCATTTCATTGCCGTTAAAAATTTAACGCGTTTAGTTTTTAAACTATCAATTTTGGTATGTTTTAGTACCTAAACTTTCAATTATTTTTCAAAACTTAACGTAAAATTTTGAACAGTGGCACTAAAATGAAACAAAAACTAAACTTTTGGTATGATTTTTTAAAAAAAAAATTAAAGTTTAGGTAATAAAACGGAAAAACGATAGTTTAAGTACTAAATATATAATTTACCCTTTTTTGTTTCGAGTACCTAAACTATTTTTTGGTCAACTAAGTCCTTAATGAAACATATAAACAAACACTAAGTAATGTTATTAAGTAATGTTAAGTAGGGGTGAGTATTTGATTTGTTAAATTGAGTAGAGTTAATAAATTTTGAGTTAGTCGGGTTGACATATTTATTTTATAATTTAAATTTTATTTAATTTTTTTGAGTCGAAACAAATTTATAAAATTCGAATTGAGTTAAGTTGTTCGAGTTTTTAGTTAAATTTAATTATAAATATTTATAATATTATGACACTAATTAATTCTGATTTAATCTGCTTTTGATAATCATATATGATATACATATACATACACATATATATATCTTCTACTTTTTTATATAAAATATACATACACTAAGTATTTTGGATGGGTTTTTTCATCATGTTCTTATACGGTTCTTGTATGTTCTCACTTCCTCAAGTTACTAGTTTTTTGTGTCAATGATTATAGGAGAATGTCCTTGTTAAGTCGATTTTTTGTTCGAACCCTTATTTTGTGACCTCTTGAAAAGCATAAAGGATGGAAAGATGAACCGAGTACGTACGAAATGCTACGAAAGGGTTGACCCCATCATTTCAAGTCACTTGGACCTCCAACAAAACAATTGTTATAAGAGATCTAAATAACGACCCACCATCAAAACATCAACTGTTATATAATTGTAACAGTTTCGTTTGAAATTGTTATTATATGATTTCGATATTTGCAATGATCACAACAACACATATTATATTTATAATCACAATAAATGTATCATAACAAAAAACTCGATCGTAAGCGTAATTTAAATATCTGTTAGTAATAATGAAAACCCATGTTTTATAGCTACATAAAATAATCAAGCTATGAATTGAGCTTGGATTGGACCCAATAGTTGTCAAAAAATGGATTTTTTTTAAGTTGTGACCAAAGTTTAAG